CCCCAAAACCCCAAAACCCCAGCCAATGAAATTATTGTATTCGGGTATAAAATTAAATATTTTCAAGTTTCTTAAGCTAATTAAACGGTCATATAATATAATCATTTTAATCAATATTGCCAAGGACTCAATTAGGGGCTCCAAAAGCAACAGGAGTCATGAATTATTAGGGAATTTGACTCATCATCATTCCAGGCATTAAATGTCCAGGCATTCCAGCCATCCCTCCACTAATTTGAGGTAATCCTGTCATCATTGGATTTACAGCTCCTACTCTCTTTCCTGTACCGATCTGATTAACAAGTTGGAATGACTGTTGTGGGGCCATTGTTGGTTGAGAATTAATGCTAGATTACTTATCATCAGTTGAAGCGTTTTTCTAATCAGCTAATTATTTGTAATGACTCTTCTGGTCATCAGTGAGGCTTTTCCATTCGACTGCTGCTTACTTTGTGATTTCTTGGATCTTGATTCCTGGGTTAGTCTTCTTGAACTCTTCACCCTTCAACTGACTTTGGTCTCTTAGTTTGAGATTGATTTTTGTTAGCTTAATTTGAGTTTCCACCGCCACTCTTTTTCTTATAATTTTAAGGTTTAGTTCCAATACTGCCAACTGGATCAGAAAGTTGTCCTGATTTTTCTTGATTTAATTCTTTCTTGTATCTCTCAACGTCATCAGTAGCCATTTTTTAGAACTGTTATTTTTATTCATCACTGAGTGCCTTCCATTTCTAACCAGCAAGAGCCATTAATTAGCAAACTGCTTATCCTGGGCATTCTGTCATCAATTCATTCTTAATGTGCTCTTTGAAGAAGATAAATGAGTTTCTGGGTTTCTTAACTAATGATTGATTTTCTTTTGGAGCTGCTGATGGAGGATTTTAAGTCAAATTTTGTACTGGTTTTGATGTTTTCTTTGAATCATTTGTGCTTGGTTGAGTGTTTGCTTGATTTCCACCACTCATCTATTGGGATAAAAATTTCTGGAACTCTTGAGCCATTAGAGGATTTTGCATCATATTAAACATCTGAGTCATCATGTTGTTTTATTATGATGGGTTGAATTAAGGAGACATCATTGCTTGCTATGGCATGTATTACTACTGAGGCATTTACATTTGTGGTAATGGCATTCCAGATGGCATTTAGTTCATCATTGGTGGGAACTACCCAAACATTTATGGCATTTGAGTTGGTTGTGAAGAAACTTATTACATTTTTGATAATTTGAGTTTAGTCATAAGTTTTAAGCTTATTAATTAATCTTATTGCTATCATTAGTGAGTTTAGATAATAAAATAGTATGAAAAATGATTGAAAATATTATTAAAGTTTGAAATATTTATCAAATTAAAGGTTAAGCATTAAGTAATTAAATTCAATATTTTTATAATTAGTTTTGCTAAATACCTGAGTATTTTTTATCTCCTTCGAAGAAAGGTCTTGCATTTTACCTAGCACTATTTTAATTCATGCTGTTAAAGTTGGGATTAGTATTACTCAAAACATTTTGAAAAGACATAGAAGGCAAATTACCTATTTTATGCTGATTGTAAGAGTGCATATTTGATTGGATTTGTATTGAGCCCATATTATTTCTTGATTAATTTATATGCTACTAAAGTTTACTTCTAAGTTGGTCAATATCTCGATCCTTCTGAATTTTTTCATTCTCCATATTTCTCTATTAGACTTTCATCTCTATTATGGTTTACTCTAACTTCTCACATTATAAATGAGATTTCAAATACTGCTCTTTTGTAAAATACTACATACAGTATTTGCATTGAATTTTTTCAGTCTAGTTCTGTTCACATTGTCAAATCTGCAGTCATTTTAGTTGCAGACCTTACATTGATAATCATTAACAATGCAGTTAGAAAGATGCACATCTTTATCTTAAATCTTAAAATATGATTTACATTTATCATAGTTAGGACATCTGATTCTATTGAATTTGCAATCATCCTCATGTTTATGCAATGACTCATAGCGCTCAATTTCAGGACAGTCAGGCGCGAATATGCACTTAATTCTGATATCGTTAAGCTTTTATCTAGTGTTCTTGTGTACAGGTTTAAGGTTCAAAACTGCACAGCCCAAAGGACACTAAATATCTGTTCTTTAATCATCATGATTGTGATTTTCTCCATTGTTATCATTCATTGCCACATTTGCATCTTAGTTATTATTATTGTTGATATTTTAATTATTTTTCAATTACTATCTATTTTGGTACTCTAGTATACAGTGCTTGCAAAAGGAGGTGTCACATGTGATACAGTCCACAGGATCGAGCAGCAGATTGGAGCAAATAATGCATTCAAACTGACAATTTGAATCGTTGGATATTATACGATCGGTTTTAACCTATTTCTCCCAATCAATCAAGTCCTCTAGCTAAAGTTCATGAGCAGCTCCTCTACTTATATCGAAAATCTTTTAAGAAGATTGTTTGTATTGATTTAACTGGTTATTTTCTTAATTAATATGATTGTTATCGATAGGAGGATTAGGCTGGATATTATAATAATGCATGTAGGGGTTTGCAAGAGCCATATTTTGATTTTGATAGTTATTATTATTTAAGATATTATTGTTGCTATTTACAACAAAATCATCTTCCCATGAGTCAGGTAAGTTAATTTAGTCGTTCCCAATATTCATTTTATCATTATTTTCCATTTCCCAATTTATAGATACTGCTTCTGGGGTTTTGGGGTTTTGGGG